GTCTCCAGCCGAACGCGCGGGGCTGGGGGTGGGTAAATTTTACCCCCTGTTATCTCCCGAACTAATGGTCCGATTTGGAAAATTCAAATGCCAAGCGAAAGATCTCATAACGAGCAACTAAAAACATGTACTTAATTTAATGTTTGAGCCTTGAGGTCAAGGTTAAGGTCAGGTCAAAGGTACAAATTGCAAGTTTCTACAGTATCGGCCTTGCACCGTAGTTGCCGAAAAATGGACTGAGACTGATTGCCCAAAACGTGTTCTTAGGCTACCAAGACAATATTCGCTGCATACAATATCATTCAGAGGTCAAGGTCAAGGTCAGGTCAGGTCAGGTCACCAAAAACAAAATATAGAAAAGGGCATGTGCGACACATGTTTTATGGGTCATTTTATTCATAGAATTCAATAGGCACACTCAATAGGTGATATGGACCACATCTGGATGAATTTCAGGCCGAGGTCAGGTCAAGGTCAGGTCAACTGAGGTCAAATTTTGAAGTTGGTTGTTAAGGCCTAAAAAGGTGTCTATCTGATGCAGATTTTCACGGTGAATCAAATGGTGCTATTCTTGTTTCCGTACGAGGTCTAGAACTTCAAAAAAATAATTTTTCAAAAAATTTGTTCGGTCGTGACGTCATGCAATTTTGAATAACTCCCACATTTTTGAACCAATTCTTCTAAAAATTGGTATGTAGGTGCACATGGACCACTTCTCTGAAATATATTCCGGTTTTTGCGATACACGCAAAATTTTGGATTATATAATTATTTTTCCCAAAAAAGTCAGTTTTTTTGAAAAAAGTTGGGCAACATCAAAAATTTTCAAAAAACCGAGATAGCAATTTGATAGATAAAGTAAAATCACGTATAACCTTTTTTGTTACGTCTTGATTCCCTTAAAAATGAAGATGTTAGCGGCGTTTGAAATTTTGCCGTTTTTGAGGCGAAAATGGCGAACATGACGTCACTAAAACGTCATTTTCTCAAAAAAAAAATCCGAAGGATTTCGCTCAAATTTTCAGGGAACGTGTCCAATTGATGTAAGAAAAGGTACTGAAAGTTTGGCGGCGCTTGAGACATTGCAAAAATTCGCGAGGGGGGTAAAATTTACCCCCCCCCCAGCCCCGCGCGGGTTTCCCTTGCGTGACGTCATTTTAGGGTGATACGAGTTTTTCGTCAATAACTCCCGATAAAATCGGGAAATCCACCAATGGACTCGGAAAGACCTTCCGAATCGAATGATATGCCATATGATACCCTTTGCCCAGCTTCGTGACCTGAGGGGCTCTGACCTGACCTTGACCCGAGGTCAACTACTTAAGTTGACCTCACCCTAACAAAAAGTATACCATTCGACGCACCTGAGCTAGGCGAACACAAAGAGGCCAAAATCGCTGTGCTGTTATGCTGTTATTTTTTGCGAAGTTATTTACTTAAAGGTAGTGTGCCAGCTTTCCTGGACCGTATGGAGTTAATGGCCCAGATAAGGAGAACCGGATTTTTAGAACTGATCCATGCCTTCAAAACTCATGGAAACGTCTTAAATTCTTTAACTTTTGAGTACCCCAGTGCGAAATTCGCCCCGACGGGTTGTCGGTCGTACCCCAACCACATTTCACACCACTATGAACAATGAATGCACACACTGAAATCGCTATTACCGATAGGCTCATCCAATCAAGTTTCGATAAACCCGTTCATCATCATCTCCTGCGGTTTCGAACGCGCCTGTTAGGTGGTGCGGTAGACCGCGCCCAAAGCCAGGGCCCCGGTAACGTGAGGTAGCCGAGTCGGGGCAGCGTGCGCTGACCCAAGCCGGGGCCGCGCGTCTTCCCGGTGTCATGTGATAGCCCGGGGCTGCCCGGGGATGCGGTAGACCGCGCCCCCGACTCGGCTACCTCACGTTACCGGGGCCCTGGCTTTGGGCGCGGTCTACCGCAGGTGGCTTCTGATCATACTTTGTGGTGCGGTGGTGGTGCGTCGGGCCGCGCGCTCTGACTTCGGCCAAGAAAAATGCGTCAGCTGATCATTGTCATTTCTGCCATTTTCATGTGGTGAGATGGGGTCATAACTTTAGAGACGGCTGTTTCTTATCAATTATTTTGCATAAAATAATATTTCAAACCATAAATTAATGTTCGACAGCCAAATTAAAGAAACAATACCAATACAGGCTTACAGTTTAAAGGGACACTCCCACCTTAACATTAGTTTTGAGTTGAGATAGCCAAATTGGTGGCCATGGCCTGCAAATACCGGTTTGGGCACTCACAACATCGACAAATGCTTTAATTCGGAGATATGGAATTCCAAACTTGCAGTTTTCGGATTCTAAGGGGCTAGTGCATTGGTATGCCCCCTTAGAATTTGTGACGTCAGCGGAGATCTAACGATTTTTAAATCTTTTACTAAAACGTTTGGTAGCACGCGGTGGTATATGCTGCTTTGCGCGCAACAAATGCCGCACTTTCAAATAAAGTCGCTAGGAACAGCGGAGATTCCAAAAAGTAAACAAAAGTAAAAGTCTAATATCTTGAAAACCGGTGAATATTTTTCGATGAAATTTGGTAGATATTCGTTTTCGCTCTTTCTGAACCGAGCGACATCACTTTCGTGCCAATTCATTAACTTTTTTGAAGGTGGGAGGGTCCCTTTAAATTCGACATTGTGTTGTCTACGATTAGACAGCTGATAACTCATTCCCGTACGTCGTAACTCTATAATGACCTTTGCTTATTGTCACATGTGCACCGCATTCGCGATTGTTGCCGACGCCTGTTTGCAGGTCAGCCCACTACAGTTGTTATACATATCGAAAAACCGATAAACTTTTAGGCGAAAAAAGCACTATTTTAGGTCCATTTTTGATTTTTGTTTTGCGATATTAGGTAAAAACAGAAGCTTCCTATCCTAGGAAAAATAGAATGGGAAATCATTGGAAGGTGGCACATTACCTTTAAAACCGAACACGTCACTTGACCTGACCTCAGACGCTATTGGTTAAAGGAAGACTGCCACCTTCAAAAAGTTTTCTCAGATCGGCCTATGATTTATTCCCTGGACAAAACAAAATTTTAGAATTCACCTGACAAAGTATCATCACGTGAATCGCGAAAAAAAATTGTCGATTTTCATACAATTATCAATCGGTTAATGTCTAGCGACAATGTTTACACATCACTAGACTTCAAGGTCATAAGATTATTACATTTTATTTGAAAAAGTAAGGTATTTTATAATTTACTAATATATGATTTCATGAGAAATTGGCCATGTTTAATTTATTTTGCATTTAAGTTCGTAAAACATTTAAAAAAATCATGGCTCATTTGGAATGGGTCTGGCCCATGTTAAACCCCATTTCCAACACTTTTTTGGAAAAAATGAACTACTGAATATATAAGTTTAACTTTTATTTTGACACTCCAATATTCTTCTCTGATCTCGAAACAATCAAAGTTTTGGCATATATTTACCAAAAGATAAGAAAATTCATGTTTCAAAGTTATCGATAAACAGTAGAGATGTCGGTTTTCTTGGACTAAAAAAATGGCATCAAACTGAACTTTGGTCTCCGATTTCTCGCAAACGGGTTCGAATTTCGGAAAACCGACTTCAGTCTGGGACATAGGTGGCTCAGCTCTAGTGAAAACCGTTTTGTGGAAAAAAGGTGGCAGTCTACCTTTAACCTGATACCTTAAAATCGGGTACCAATCGCTGCGACTTGTAACGGCACACACGCTCGTTTTTTTCCGCGAGGCTCTAGCTCTATTAGAAGCGAAACGGCGTGCTGGGGTCGTATCAACCCCTCCGAAACCCATTTTGTTTGCGGGAAAATGAGGAACTTATAGAAAGAACACCTTTCTAATTTTGTGCATGTCGATTTGCAATGACTTGAAGTTTATTTTAAAAAATAAAAATGTGAAAAATCTTGGTTCCAAAAGTCATCAGAGGCAAATGAAAAGAGATTAAGGTTCTTGTTCAACAATGAAAATTTTTCTTTGGAATTTTTAAAAAGTAATATTAATTTTTGCTTCATCGCAAGCTTAGTGTTGTTTACCGTTTGTTGGTCGCCTTACCGGTTCTTGAGTTATAGGCCATCAAACTCACCCTTACAAACCGAAGTTAGAAAATGTAATGCAATATAACTCAAAAAGTTTTGATCTGAGAAGTCTGATATTTTGCCAGGCGTCTTTGGGGCCTATGACTACCCCTAGGACCGATTTTCATTAAAATCTGAGAGATGAGCGTGACGGGCCTGGTACGATCTATCGTTGAATGCCCCAGCTGTGAGACAGGCTGGCGCGACCCCCGCCGAAGTTAGTTGGTAGCACTGCTGCTCCACGGCGTACATTTCCTACCAGCCCATAGGGTTTACATGTTAAATGGCCTGTTTTCGGCGAGCGATATCTCGGCCAATATTTGAAGAAATTACTGGCTCTTAGTCTCAGATGATAGATCGACGAATTTCTTTCGACAATTCCTCTACCCTGTACGCTGTAGAAGATCGGCTGGGTTTCGTGAAAAATGGTAGAGGAATTGTCGAAAGAAAATTCGTCGATCTATCATCTTCAAAAAAAGATCTACATCATCTAAAAAAAAAAGAACCCTGTACGCTGTAGAAGATCGGCTGGGTTTCGTGAAAAATGGTAAAGATTTCTCTGCACGCCAGCACACGCGACTCGCCTCTCCGGTCATCTTCACGCAGTCCGCGGTAGCGCAGTCGGTAGCGGATCGGACTGCGGATCCAAGGGTCGTGGGTTCGAATCCTGGTAGTGGCGCGCGATTTTGACTTGAATTTAATGATGTAGATTCTTGAATGATAGTATAATCGATAAATATTAGCTAATCTAATGTATCTGCCCACTAATCGGCCTCTTAAAACCTGTTATTCAAGAAATTTAAGAAATGAATGTCACGTGCGCGTCATGACTGCCTACCATAAACGCTACCATATTCTAGTTTGAACTAAACTTTAGCTAGTCCCGACCACATATAGTAGGTTTTCTAGTAGTTATCCTAGAAATTCCTACCAAAATTCGTCCTACCCTTCACTCAATATACCCTGGGTTGGCGCACAGGCAGCTCAGCTGTGAGACGGGTTGGCGCACAGGCAGCCCACCGGACAGCACACACACATGCGCCCGCGCACGCACACTGTGACTGCTCTGAGAGCGCTGGGAACAGCATTCACAGCACAACGCTCAACATAGTGCATACATCTATAAGAACACTCCGCAAATACGTCCCTTCATCGTCGGGGTTTCTATTTAAGCGATTTACCTAGGGAGAAAGGGCTAATGTCAATCATAACCCGCGACCCGTTGGGGGGGGGGGGGCAAAGGGCCCCCTGCGGTTTTTCGCAGATAACTCAGAAACGGCTGCGAATTTCGACATGAAACTTATAGTACCTCTCCGGACATTAATTTTACACAACTTCTGAAAACGCAGGTCCCAGTTCACCTCATGTCACGAGCTATAGAGGTCAAACTGACGTCATGTTTGACGATTTTTCTTCCAAAAAGTTGTTCACGAAGAAAAGTCGCAGAAAATCAGGGTTTCAACTTAACGACTCAAAAATTGGACTGAAGGTATAAAAATGCATGACAAACCAAATGGCTGTCTCGACATTTCCCAAGTATAAAATCCCTAGCTCTAGGGATTTTCTAACTAAAAATTTATATTTCTTGAGGTATTTTTGAAGTTTGGGGAAATTAAGAAAAAACGGAATATGTGTTAGAGAACCTCTTACTGGCCTTACACATGCCAAAAATTAACAAAATATCTCTAAAACTGCCTGAGATATAGCCATTTGAATGACTGAAAAAGTAGCGACTGTTATTATGAGTTATGACGCCACCATATTTTCGATATTGGTGCTTGAAATCAGTCAGGAGTAATATTTATGATTCTTATCAACCTCTTGCTGGCTGCATATCATCCTTTACGTGAGTAAAATAACTTTCACGTAAAAAATTGTTTTTCGTTGTTAATCGGTACAACTTGACCTTATTTTACCTTCCTGTGACGTCATAGGTACAAGAAAAATGGTCAGGAGGTTTCTGTGGTTGCATATATATGACGTGTCTTCATAAAGACTCGAATATTCACAATTTTATATGCCTTTCCTTACGATTCACGAAAGTGTTTTCTGATTGGTCGAGGCTGACCGCTGTTGTGACGTCATAGGTCATCATCCACTCCAGATGACTATCCACGTGCCAGATCTATCATATACATCATATCCAGACTCATCTTGAAAGCTTAGATTTCATTTGTATGACCGACTTCTCGTCATTACAAATTGGACTGATTTGACATTGTTTGACCTCCCTGTGACGGCACAGTTCAAATATCAAGGTCATCGATATCCTATCTTGGGCATCTCGATGAGCTCTTTCGAATGCCGTTTGAATTTTCCGATCCGGCCATTGGTTCCGGAGATACGACGGGGGCCCTTTGGTCTCCCCCCCCCCCCCAACAGGACATGGAACCTGCCAGACCTCAACGGGGCGCGGGTTAACGGCGAAAAAAAAATAGAATTTCCGGAATCAACATTACCACCACCAACTGAGGTAAATACTCGACCGTCAGCCTCTTTAAAAAGCCGAGATACCACCTGTGTCGTCATCAGCCCGAACAGGGCGTCGGCAGGGGACAGCAGAAAGACTGCTGGCTGTCGCTCTAGCTATATAGGTAGCACAAGTGACTTACAATAACAGCTGGCAGTGGCGCCTCGCCGCCTCCCGTCGACGTGCAGTTTCCGCTACATTACCTCATCACACGCCCACGTCAGCTCCGTCTTTGGCGGTGCTACCGCTGGCCACTGACCAGTCTCGCTTCAGGTAGTCAGAGAACATCCTGCGCGCCTGCTCCAGTGTGCGTGACAAGTCATGCTTACGCACCATTTTGTCGAAAAGCATTGCGATCTCCTGGTAATCCAAACGGCTTCCGAGAATCACGTCTCGGTGCTGCTGCAGGAGGCTCAGACAGAGAAAGATGAGGAACGGGTTGCCGCCGCCGAGCTCCTGCGGCGCCGGCAGCCGGCCGCGCACGTCATTCTCACATGAGTAGGAGATGACCGCACCCAGACCCTGCTCCGTGACCGCACCCAATTCCTGCTCCGTGGCGCTTATCGGGTCGGTCGATGGCGTTAACCCCACCTCCACTTCCTCTGCAAGTAAAGGATTATCGGAAATGTCGACTGGATTTTCCACAGCGACGGCATTCTGGATGAAGCAGCTGGTAGAGTGTTCCAGCCGTACGCGCTGTCGGCTCATCTCCGCTGCGGCCGGACACTCTATGGTACAGTAGTCTAATTCGTCAGACGTTGTCATCAGAGAGCCAGACGGTTCCCCCTCGTCGCCAGTCATCTCCAGTGGTAGTGTCAGACTGCCACTTGTCTGCCGTGTCAGCCGCCGGAACTCGCCCAGGTCTCGGATCTTCCTTCCACCATCGCTACCGGCCAGCTCTGCGTCCGACTGAAGCCGTCGTTCGCGCAGAAGCTTTTCCTTGCGCGCCTGGCGCTCCTCTCTGAAAATACGCGCGGATGTGGCTGAGGTCGCGCAATGTGCTATGTCGCCCGCGATGCCATCCAAGCTCTGCACCCGTTTGGAGGCAGACATGCCAGTGGCTGCACTCTCGCCAGGCGAAAACTCCTTCTTGAGCAGCGGGCTGTTGCCAAGACTGAGTGTGCCCGCGCTCTGTCGCCGGATGGCGCAGACCTTGCTGTAAGCGGTGGCTGCGCGGCGGCGAAACCCACTCAGTGTCGGCCGGATGGCTGCGGCCGACGTATCCAGCAGAGGCACACCCGTGTACCTTAGCTCGAACAGCTGAAGCCCGTCACACGGCCAGTCCGGAGGTAGCGACGACCACAGCACCTCCAGCATTCGTAAGGTCTCCTCAAAGGCGAACTCCCGCTTGAGCTCCAGTAGCAGCCAACGGTAGCAGAAAAGCAGGTCATCGGCCTGTGGCAGAGAAAACGTGTTAAGTCTGGAGAAAGGATGGGCAAGAGTGCGAGAGAGAGAGAGAGAGAGAGAGAGAGAGAGAGAGAGAGAGAGAGAGAGAGAGAGAGAGAGAGAGAGAGAGAGAGAGAGAGAGAGAGAGAGAGAGAGAAAGAGATATATATATATATATATATATATATATATATATATTTTGCATCTGCGGGGTACAATGGACCACACGGGTGGCCCGACCACAGTGGTCCGTCTTACCACAAACTAAAATCGGCAAACACCATGCCGTAACGAACAGACGAACATTCCGAAACCTTGCTTAATTAACCATAAACGTGATGCTAACATTGCTCTTCACATCAAATGTAAGAAAGTAAGTAAGAAAAATGGCGCTTCCCTTACCATTAGTTACCACATCGATAAACTTACAAGCGAGTTTGTTTTGGACTAAAATTCCTACTCCCCCCGCCACCGAACTATTTGGTGCCAACCATGCCCTTCCTCCCCATTGATTTCTAAAAACATTCTCTTTGCCGGGGGCTACATGCATTTCTTGTAGGCATACTATGTCAGCTGTATGAGACCTTAGAAAGTCAGAAACATCTTTTCTCTTTGAAAAGTCGCCTAAACCCCTTACATTAAATGTGACTATTTCTAGATCACAAACCTTCTTACTCATTTTTGTGTTTTAGGAAAGGACAAAGCAGGACATTTGTAGCTCAACAGAGAAAAAGGCAGATAAAGCAGCAAAGAAACGGGCGGCAACAAACACGGCCGGGAGGGTCTGCCCGCTAACCATACATACCCCTGATCAGAGCTCTGACTTTCTCCGAAGAGGGAGAATCTTTCGTATTTGCTAATCGGGGTGCCGCCGAAAGTAGTGCCAAGTCCGCCGCCGGCCGCCAATCGCCGGCCCGACGCGCCGCGCCGCGCCGCCAGAGCCAGCCCACCGCCGCCGACACCTCCCCCGCAACAGCCTGCCCGAGCATTGGGCAAACATTTGAAGCACAGTGCGATAACAGCATGGTAAGGAAAGGCAATAAGAAATATAAAAAAACTCTGAAACTTATAAGGCGAACGCGGCCACTTGGCCCAGTCGATGAAACATGTTAAATGTCATTACAGGCAAATTGCATTTATATGCATTTATATCTAAATCACATTTATATGCGGATACTTCAATTGGTACCAACTAAATCAACTTTTTGACAGTTTCACAAACAACGACTGTGGTACAAGTGAACGTTGATTTTATTACTACTTGCGATCTCAACAGGTCATTTCACTATCGAAAACATGTCACGCCGAACCCCCGAAACTTACATCCCAGCCCCCCCCCCCCAGCCATACCCTCTTTGGCCCCTGCCATTATAGTTTGTGAGTGCGAAACCGAGACAAGTGCATACATACTATCAGACAGCTTTCTTAAATCCCCAGGATGTATTTAAAAGGAAGAGGAATGTATATTTGGATATCGGGGGGGGGGGGCAGGCCCCCGCTGAACTGCTAGAGCCAGTACAACGTCAACCTGCATGCAACCTAGTTACCGAAGGTGTCGTAAATTTGCACCAGCGCCGCTCCAGGATTCGGCGAGACACAGCCCTGTCTCGAACAGAAGCCGGCCCGGCACGCCGCAGCAGCAGCGGGCCCGTCGCCAGCGCCGACCAGTCAGCTCATCGGCGGACCACCGCCTCCCTGTGGGCGGTATCGAGGCGCCCGCCGCCGCCTCCGCCGCGACCGCCGCCGCCGCCGCCGCCGCCGCGACCGCGAGCCGCACCGCCCGTTCGCGGCCGCTCGTCTTCCACAGAGAACCCGTGTTCTCGCAGTTTATCCAGCGAATCCACCCTGACGCTCGCCGCGAACTTCTCCGGTTTGTAGAATACCTGGCCGCCGCGCGTAAACACCGTGTGCAGCTTCTTCTCCCTTCTTGCGTTGAGCAGGCTACGGTAGATTTTGCCTCTCAGCGGTGTAAGGCTTTCGTTCACGTCAGGGGCGGATCCAGGAATTTTCGGGAGGGGGGGGGGGCGGCAAGTCGAAATAGGGGCGACCTGGCAATCCGGGGGCGCTCCATACAAAGGGGGCGCCAAACCGTCAAAATCGGGAGCTAAAAGCCCGCGCCGTGCTAGGGGGCGTTATCGCGCTCCCCCTCAGGTTTCTCGCAAATAGGGTAGTGTGGGGTAATTTGAACATATTTTTACGTCTTCTCCATTGTACCAAATTCCAGTTCAACCCTGGATGAAGAAAAACTGCTTCAGTAGCGCAAGTGTCACTTGCTTTCACCATGCAAGCCTCATTTTTGGACGAGCCGAGCATACCTTGAATAGCATAGCCTCACTTCTCCACCAAGTCACGGTGTGTTCAAATTGCCCCACCGTGGGGTAATTTGAACATACTGCCTTTACCTGTCATAAAAACGATAGTCTCGCCAGCACCGATGTTGTTTGACCCATAAACAAATAGGCAGAACAATTCTAAACATACCTTCACTTGAAAAATCAACACAACAGCAAAAATAACAGTTGCAGAGTATCAATATCTGCACGCTGCACACCGGTCAGTTGACGGAATTCGCCCCTTTTCAATTAACAGAACGTCTATCATTTTTGTTCGATAAAAACTCTCCCAACCGTACTACATCTGTTAAAGTGGTGCCAATCGAAACCTGGACATTTGGAGTTCTGATTTTGTCCAATGTCCAATTCGGAATTGGTTGGACAAAGGTAGCAGACTGGACAACATTGGACGATGGCTTGCTACACTTCAGCGCTTTTAATAAAGTAATCGTGCATAGCATTGATTGGCGAATGGAAAGCTTGTTAAGCTCTCAATATAATGAACACTTTTCGGCTGGTAAAATTACATGATAAGCAATATAAATGACGGTTTTGAGTGTTGATAGCTGCATAAATTTTCGGACATATTTGGACAAATAGTTGACTTTAACATTTTTGGACGGAAAATCAACAAAAATGCCGGACATTAGACGGATATTAGACGTAAATTTTCTAAAACTGGCATCACTTATCTGCTACTACCTTGGGTCGAAAATGTTGGCAAAAAAAAAAAACTGGGAGCGTTGTTTTTTTTCGGAGCTATCCCTGTCTTCATTCAAATTCTCACACTATGTTCAAATTACCCCACGCTAAAAGTTATTTTGCCATTTTAAAAAACAGGGTTCAAAAGCAAATTTCTTGGATTGAAGGCACTGATTAGGTCATTATACAACAAAAGCCGTTGCGTATTAGGCGCTAGCAATGCAAGATTTGGCACTGCAATGAAGTTGCAATGACATGTTGTTAGGCGTTTTTCCTTGCGAAATTGATTTTTTACACTGTGCGTCAACATCTTCATTCCCTGAAACTTTAAACCCCGTTCATATGATAGCCCTTTTAGTTACGATAATTTCTCTCATTGGTCTTATTGTCATGCGACTTATGGATTTTCCGTAATTTTGTGTTATTCACACTATGTTCAAATTGCCCCACATGTTCAAATTACCCCACCCTACCCTATCTGAAAAACGGCTGCGCGCAGCGCCGCCATTTTCAGCATGCCTTATCATGCATCTTTTTTGCACATGTTGTAAAAATGTCTGACGCGGGTGATGGAAGGTCAGGTCACCAGGTTATGCCAAGTGACCTAGCCTAAGAAAAAGTTCAAATGCTTACGCTCGCCATATCACACTGCCCAAGTCTAGCAACAATCACGGGAAACGCCGATTTGTGTACCGGGCTGCCGACCTGTACAACCGAATGGTGATCGCCAGGGACAGAGATCACATGTCACTGCGCAGCATCAAGGCATCTATCCGTGATGACCTAACCAGCCATTGAACACAACGGTCGTGTATTTTGTGTCATATTAGGTCCACTGTATTGATCGGTCTTATTAGGTGTCTTTTATGAAGTGTTCATTGTGTGCTCATATTGCATTGTATATGACGAAGGTCGCAGAATAGCCCTGCACCAGTGGAGCGACCTTATTCGGTAAATACATACAGTAAATACATTACCATTGCTATACCGACTGAACGATTGCTTTGAACCTTTCAGCGATTGATGAAAGCAACACTATTCATGAAATGTATATCTCGGAATTTCGATATCTGTGACCTAAGGTCAGGTCAGTTGTGCGACGTCTCCATTAGGTAGGTAGGTATAATTAAGTCTTTGGGAGAAAACTGAGAGGCATCTCTTTTGGACGAGCGCCATTCTAGACAATATCAAGCATTGGGATACATATAAAATTAACACACTGAATAAGAACATTGCACCTAGTGTGACCACTCATTATGTCCCAGAGGTCATCCCATGTCATGAAAGGTCCGCAGCAGTTTTTTTTTTAAAATAACTTTTGATAGATTCAAGCTAGAGCGATAAAAACACCTCAGCTGTGTTCAGCTCGACGATACGCATCGACTGCTATGCAGCATGACCTTTCCCGGTCAGGTCATGACCTTGACCTGAGGTCAAATTCTCAAAATTACCCTTCATAAGGTCAACCTTTAGTTTGTTCGACGTGTCTCGACGACAGAAACGCAATGCTGGCAAACGTAATGTCGAGACTCTCTTGAGTCAAAAGTTATTGCAGGAAAACATTGTTCGTAAAAAGGCTATTTTTAGAGTCTTTTGCCCTCTGAAGGCTAAACCGTTGACCTGAGGTCAAATCTGAGCGCAGCTTGCAGAAACACCTTTAAAAAGGCTATCGAATGCGCTTTTCTGCGGCGCTATAGCTCTATTGGTTTCCGAGTTATGTGCCGCTGCTTCGAAAACGGAAAATGTTGAAACAGGCAACATTTTACCTTTGATGACCTCTGGTGACCTGACATTCGACCTGACCTAAAAAATGACCGTTTTGTTTTCGTCCTGTTTTTTGACGATCTTTCGAATACCGCTTATCGCGTGTCACTACGCGGCCCAGGAGCCGAGTTAGACGAGGGAGTGTGCCCCCCCCCCCTCCCCAGCAGGACACGGAAAACTCAGACCATCAGCACGGCACGGGTTAAAAGT